CGGATCCAGCAGCAGCAGAGCGAACAGCGGCAGCGGCCGAGCGCAAACCAGACTCCAATCCAGCAGCCGTGGAGCTGGCAACCGGACTCGAGTCAGCCACCCGGGTTGAGCCAGCAGCCGAGCTGGGCGCAGCAGCGGGCGAACGCAGGTCAGAGTCCGATCCAGCAGCCGAGCTGGCAGCATCAGCCCCAGCCGCCCACGAGACATGCGAGCCAGCAGCAGATGCAAGGCGACGCAGTTCAGGCAGCTGCCGAGGCGGCCGCGGAGCGCGACTTGTTCCAGGTCCAAGATCGGCAGCGGTCCGTCGCAGGGCAGCGACGTATCCAGCAGGCGCAAAGCACGGCGCTCAGCCGGGCGGGTGTCGAGCGGAGGCTGGAGCAGTGGAAAGGGATCTGCGCGGTGTGTGTCGGCAGCGCGAGGGACTGGCAGCATATCGTCAGCGACTGCAGCGAAGCAGCTGGGCAGCGGGCAGACTCGGAGCGACGTCAGACGCAGCGCACGATCCAATATCCCAAAGGGATCGCATGTTTCCGATGTGGGGTTCCGCCCAGCATCTGCCAGAGATGGGATGAGAGTAGTACGGTCCCGATCGGCGGGCAGAGCTGCCAGTTCTTCGGAGTGCTATTCGGGATCGTGTATAGCATCAAGCACGGGTATCCGACGATCTGGCGAGTATAGACGGAGAGGATGCTTGGGCGCGGGGTGGCGGTGACGGAGGCGGCGATGCTCGTACGATACTTGGGCAGCCGGCGTGAGATAGGCGGGCTGGTATGTAGCGGGTTAGTAGAGAGCTTCATGCAACTTACGGACGAGGTGCGAGAGCACGTCGAGCAGCGGCGAGGGCAAGAATGCGGACCCGGGTAAGGTCCCAGACGAGGACGGGGATCATAGTTAGGGTGATATCGGGGGAGCAGGTTCCGGTTCGGTTCGGGCTAAGGTGAAGATAAGCGAGATAGAGTCCAGTTCAAGTTCAAGTCCGAGTGCGAGTGCGAGTACAGGTTCAAGTTCGAGTTCAAGTGCGAGTACAAGTTCAAGTTCCCGGGTCAAGGTCAGGGTCAGGGTCAGGGTCAGGGTCAAGCCAGGGCGAGGGTTAGGGTGAGGTTCAAGTCCGGGTGAGGATTGAGGTCAGGGTGAGGGTCCGGATAAGGATGAGGGCGAGGATAGGGATAAGGATGAGGGTCAAGGTTAGGGTGAGGGTGAGGGCTCGGATGAGAATGAGGATAAAGGGCAGGGTTCGGGTCAGGGTTAGGGTTAGGGTTAGGGTTAGGGTTAGGGTTAGGGTTAGGGTTAGGGTTAGGGTTAGGGTTAGGGTTAGGGTTAGGGT